CGAAACCGCGAGAAAGAGGAATCGGCAGCGACACCCGAGATAATCTGCAAGTTTCAGGTGGGTAAGGAGCGGTAAGAAGGCTCCAGAGGCCAGAGGCGGGGCTGCGTAGCGGTAGCAGAGGGAGGCCGCAGCCAGGCCACCCCTGCCCGGGGCACCGCCCGGCGCGGCCCCAGGGAGGGGTGGGGAGAGGGCGGGCGGGACAGGCGGGGCGGGCGGGGCATAGGTGCGACGGCAAACCACGCCTCCCGCCCTGCCTGCGGCTGCGCTCCCCCGCCTGATAACTGAGTCACCGACACTATAGGACACTAAGCGAGACGCCGACGGAGATTTTCAACAAATTTTCCGATACGTCGGCAAGGGGATGAATGTGAAACACTTCTTGACGAAGCCGAAGTAGGACAGATGCACACTGCTGCAGCGCGGCCGTGCCCTTGCTGCTGCCACCGAGAGTCAGCCCTGCGGGTATCCTCGTGAACCCCAGTCCATGGGCGCTCCGGTGACACGACACGACGCCGACACACCTGCTGGGCCGTTTTCCACGTCCATGATATTGTTGCCCAGAGCGCAAGCAGCGCCGAGCAGGTCCTGACCAGTAGGAAGAGCGACTCACGGAGCGGATTTGACTCAGGGTTTACGTCACACCGACAAGTCACTGGGGTCCGCGGGCGGGGCGCGGGCGGGGCGCGGGCAGGGCGAGGGCGGGGTACGTGTCGGCCGCAGGGCCGGGCGGCCCTTCACCCTGCTGCACTCGCACCTCGAGGCCGACTGCCTATCTGCTGCCCTTGGGGATGCAGCCAGGCCAGCCCGGCCGGGGCAGCGCGCGGGGTGAAGCTGGGCCGCACAGACTCACAGGCAGCCAGCCTCGGTATCTCAGACGATAAGTGATAAGTTTGGGCATATCTACCCCACACCGCAATGTGGCGAGTTATCTGTTAAGATACAACGTATGCAGATAGGAACCTATAATCTATTCCCCACTATATCTTATCCCGCACGCTGGCGCATTCAAAATATTTTGGTCCGGTGCTTTGCTCTCCTCACAGGGGGGCTCCCGCGGTGCGTGGAGTCAGATGGCTCGCCGCACCGGCCGCGCTCCCTTGCCGGCCCCTGCGCCCCGCTTCACCCCGTGTGCTGCCCCCCCAGTGCCCGCCATGGGCCGCGCGAGCTGTCCGCCATACCACGCAGCCGCTCGCCCTGGGCATGTGACCGGCCCGCAGTGGGAAGACTTCAGCCCGGCCGTCCCTCGCCTCGGCTTATCAGATGGGCACGACCACTTAGCAACCGATACCTGGCTGGACACGATCAAATATTTATCGCGAGGCGCGGCCGCTTAATTTCCCTCCCGATGCGACTCAAAACTTCACCCCACACCCACAACCCAGGGCGTTGTTTACCCGTAGCACTTTCAAATGAAAGCGTTCGGGGAGGGCCTCCGAGTGTTGTAGCGGATCGCAGCACGTGTGACGCAGTGGAGCCGCCAGAGGGCCGCGCCGCTGTCCTCGAGGCCTCTGCCGCCCCCGAGGCCGTCGGCTCGGCAGGTGCGGCCGATCACGCGGTGGAGGGCTGCGGCGGCCCGA